CTTGAATTCCTAGCCACAAGGGCTATTAGAAAATGTAGTGATCAGTTGAAGCAACCTAGTCTCTGGCATGTCCTGACGGCAGCCCTTGCAAAGCAATAAACCATCTGTTACATATAATATAATCACAGTGTTAGCTGTTTTCTTTTCAGTCTCATCCACTGCACCGGAGGCCTATGAGGACAGACAATGAATTTATCTTCTGTAGTTCCACAATCCCAGACACTGAGTACAAGCTCAGTAATCGCTTCCTGTGTGATGAGTGGCTGACTCATCAGGTCACCATTGTTTCTTGCATAGCTCTAGAATATTCTTTCTTTTAATTTCCCAATACTTCCCATGGGACTTAAACTCATATCACACAACATCCTTTGTGAGTTAACTAAAACTATTCCATCCCCAAATCAGCCTTTTTAGTATTGTCTCTGTGCACTTACACTAACATCCATTCACAATGATGCCTGAGGCACTGAGTGGTGAGGTCCCAGGGCACCTGCCCAAGGTTCACCTGGGACATTATTGGCTGTGCTCCAGCTACTACGACACACTGGCAGCACTGGCCTCTTTTCCAAGGCAGGGCTTCTGCTTCGGAAACACGCTGTTTTCTCTGCCTAGATGCTCCCTTCCAGAATTCTCAGAAAGCACGTTCTTTTCTGTGATTAGAGGCCCGGCTCTGACCACATCTTTGAAAACACCTCCCATGGCGATGCTACTGAAGGAGTCCCACCTCTCTTATTTGTCATATTCGCAGAGTTTTCCCTTATCCCAAATTATCCATTGCTTATCTAGCATTAGATCCTTCAGTGGCTTTCATCCTTCTCTCATCCCCGTGCCAATCCAACACGGTGAGCACCAAAGCCAACCCTTCCTTACTTAACTATCTGCTGTGCCCAGGAAAGCTCTTGAACACAGCTCACAATCAATAATTTACTTGCTGAAATGAAGGATGGATAAAATTGTGAGCTGGCAATGAACTGAGCATATGAGCTGTTGGGTATACCGCAGAGGACTACACACATTGCCTGTGTTTGCACATATCCTTAATGTGATTTTCTCCAATCCCAGCTACTCTTTCACGGGCCTAACACTGTGTTTCCTGGCAAGGGTGTGCTGAAGCCTCCTAAGCACGGGGGTTGAACACAGACACAATACACCATGCAGAAATAAAGCCAAGGTCATGTCTTCTGGAGTTATATCCCATGGCCCATTTGCTGGGTAACTGACTCTCAGCAATTCCGTGCAATCCACACTTCTCAGCAGGAGGAGGATGGGGCTATCAGGAGAATCTTAAATTCACAGAAGTCCTAGTGAAAATAGGGAAGATTCTCAGCAATCCTTAGGGTTTTGTGGCTAGAAAGCCATCCAAATGCTCTCCAGGGTTGCTCTCCTACAGAGATACAGAAAAGGAAAGGGTGTAGTTGATGGTGATACACAGGACTTGGATATAAGATGGCTGAGGCTAGGGCATCAGAACTGGGTATTATGGCAAAAGTGAGGTTTCCTGCTAGAGCATAGAGTTCTGGGACCGAAGGACATAATAGCGTGCTATATTCTGCTAGGGAAAACCAAGTGTCACCTCCCAGGAAGACCAAGTCCAAGCAAAAAAACAATGAATTTAGGTAGCAAAGGTGAATGTGCTCGATGGGGATAGATATGTGCAGGGTGTGGGAAGACCGCTCAAAACTGAAGACTGAGACTGAAGTCAAATGGAAGCAAGAAGAGCAGGTATTTCCTGATACCACTGTCCAGACTTAGAATCCATGTCATTGATGACATTGATAAAACTAATGAAATTAGGGGTGGGAGGACAGTCAGTACAGGCAAGGGAAAGCCATCAGCATGAGTACCATAGAAGCCCTGCATTGCTGAGGACTTTGGATCATCTTCACATCAGTTTACTTCAGCAGAGACATTTCCCAGCCATGTGTAAAGGTACAGAACCATCAGAGACACTCTGAAAGACTTGAGCCATAACCCAGAGAATAACAAGAATAATAAAGAATCTATCCTCGGTGTTTCTGAGTGGCTGGTTGATGACGGAGAGTGTGTCTCTCTTAAGTAGACATCACACCCAGTTCTCCCAAACTCTGGAACTTGGAACTTGGCATGCATTTTTCCAAGGGAAGGTGCTTCAAGCTAATGAGTCAGACTAAGGTGCTCTTACCCCAGGAAGCTAGAAGAAAAAGATGATTCAAGGTCTGACAAATGAACAGCAGCAGAAGTGAAAAGATTTATTTCAGTTAAAGCAATGTGATAGGGCCAACGTGAGGCTTATGCCAGGTGTGTGTGTGTGTGTGTGTGTGTGTGTGTGTGTGTGTGTGTGTGTGTTTGTAGGGAGAGTACTAAAAGGCACAAAGAGAAGTACACATGATGCCTCATGAGGAGACAGTAAGCTGCTCCCTTACCCATAACATAATTGCTGTGGTTTAAATATGATTTGTCTCCCAAGCTCATACCAAAGTTGAATCCTTGAAATCAGTGGCACAAAGAGGGCAGAACCTCACCGTGACATTTAGAGGTGGCTGTTTCAGGATATGATAAGGTATGGACAAGGACAATTGTTCATAATGGAACATGAACAATTCAATCCTGCTGTTAGAAAAAGCAGACAGGGCCATAGCACACATGTGTGCACTCCCTCTTTATTTCCATATGATAGCTCTGCCCTGCTCCCAGCCTCCAGAAAGCCAGCTCCAGGCCCGAGCCTATGCCAGAGTTATACCCTTCAACCTCCAAAAAAACTTTCTTTATAAAGTTAGCCTGCTTGTACGAAGAGGACTATTTTTAACAGTGAGAGTCTACTTCAGAAAATTCGACAAATCTCCAATAAATAACTTAATGATGAGCCTTGTCAAAACAAGAATAAACACACAAATTGTAGATGAAAAGCGATGACCAAAATCAAGGTTGAAATTGATGGTATAGAAACATACTACAAGTCATCAATAGGACAATAAGATGGTTCTTGGAAAAGATCAATAACATTGAAAAGCCCTTGGTCAAATTTACCAAAAGAAAAGACACAAATTAGTAAAATTAGAAAAGAATTGGAAGACATTAGAAAAGATAGCAATGAGATTCAGAAAATCATAAGAACATATTTTTTTAAAAGCCCCCACTCCACTAAATTGAAAAAAAAAAAAACTAAAAGAAATGGAAAAATTTTCTAGATACATACAACACACCAAAATTAAATCAATATGAAATTTAAAAAAACTTAAACTGGCCCATAATCAGCAACAAGACTTAAATAGTAATTAAAAGTCTCCCAACATAAAATAAGGCCAGAACTAGTTAAGGTCATTGCAGAATTCTACAAAACCCTCAGAGAAGAACAAACTCGGCTGTGGATGGAATGCCTATACCAACCTGCCTCCTTGTAGTCTGGAAAAACACGTTAGGACACTGTGAGAAGGGGAGGGCGAGAAGAGAAGGAAGGGGTCCGCGAACTGCTATTCTCTGGGCATGACATGGCTGCTGCACACGTGAACTCATAGCATCTGTTGTTCCCTACATAAGACCCGTGTATCATCTAGACAGTTTAAAATTACAGCATAAACAGAGGAAGGTCCCTCTAGAGAGCGCACCCCTAGCTGGGGGCCTATTGTGTCGTGTCTCTTTTCTTTAGGTGTGCGACAACTGGCAGCTCCCTACGCCCCAAGAATAAACCCAACAAGCACACATATGTGGAAGGTATTAAATAGACTCTATGGCTTTTAAATAATAAATTGATTGAGGAGGAAGAGTGGAAAAATATGAGGCTGGGAGAGAGATATAATGTGGCATCTTAGAAGTGAACTGGAAGGGGAATGAGACAGATATGATCAAGACACATTATATCACATTTTGAGATTTTTCAAAGAATAAATTAAAAAAATTTTAAATGCAGCCACTTTTGATGAGAACTGATAGACTAAGATCAGAAAGAAGAGGAGAACCTCCCCTATCAGTGGACTTGGGGAGTGGCATGCATGCAGAAAAGGGAGGGAGGGTGGGATTGGGAGGGGAGGAGGGAGGGGCTTATGGGGGGATACAAAATGGATAAAGTGTAATTAATAAAAAATTTAAAAAAAATTTAAATGTCAGCCTGACATAGATATTTCATCCTACTAAGACACTTACTCTGCGTCTCATGGTCACATGAGAGAGTGGAGAAACCCCCAGAAGTTATCCTAGTTATCCTAGAACCAAATGGCTGCCAAGACATTGATAGGAATCTAAGACACGGCACTCCAAAATTGAGGATTCAGCATCCCAGCTAACTCTGGCAATGGCTCCCACAATGCCTAAGCATCCTCCAACTTTAGACTTCCAACCATATACCCATAAGTATAATGTCAGCACAGCTGACTGTACCCAGGACTTGGCTGAGGAGCTATGGCTCTTTGCTGAAACATATTCAAGTGTCTTTGACTAAATACTCCAAGAAAGGAAGTTTTAAGGAGGGGTGGTAGACCACTGAGAACTCTAGATACTGTACAGTATTAGCTGCCACGAGAAATTTCACCCTGCACCTACACAGGGTAATGAGTGTATTTAAAAGTAGTTTCTTTTTTTAAGAATTAATAGCTTTGGGGTCCTTTTCCTTGTGGGTAAAGGGTGTGCTAATTTGCTTCATGTTTAATGTTGTTTTTTGTTTTGTTTTGCTTTTCCTTAAAGATAATTACAGAAAATTCTATCCAAAGGCCTCTCATTCTTTCACTTCAGTGATCTGGATCCTACTAATAAACAATCAGGACTTTAGACTCCCTTAATAATGGAGAGAGATTCAGACGAATTGTTTTGCCAGTCTCTGCAAATTCCTAGAGGTGGTGCCTGTTGAACAGGCCAGCAAAATTACAGATTTATTCAGGACTGATTGCACTGGGTATGTAAGCAGTTCTGAAAGATCAAGAGAGAGGAAGGAGTGAGAGATTGCTGTGAGCTGAATGAAAAGGGGATTGCAGCCTCATGACTACCCAGCCTAGCATGGAGAAAGGATGTGTCAGGAGAAATAGACTTACTGCACGGATGAGCAAGGACCCGAACCTCGTCCACAGCGATGTAACCAGGATGACCCTTCAAAGAGACGGATTCAAATATCACCTGCAATACACAGGGCTGGTGTCAGTTTCACAGAATCAGTTGTCCACATTCACCTGAAGCAACCGTCAAGAACCCAGTTGCTTTCTGTGTCAGCTTCCCATCAGAACCAGCCACCAACATCTTGCATTAGGAGAGGGTACCAAGCTGCCAGTTGACTTGGATTTCCAAACAAGGCGAAAAGTCCACCCTCTGGTGAGCATCAAGAAGAGCCAGCCATGTGGAATGTTTAATGGATTTCAGAAATAACACTTAGCTACAACAACAAACAATTTGAATAAGGCCCTGGGCCCCATTGGTACCTCCCTCACCATCATGGCTTATTATTTGTCAATAGCCCAGTTTCCTTATTGTCTTGGAAACTAGCATAAGCCAAGGACAGTTGATCTTCATGTGATTCTGCATGGACTTCCTCTGTGCATGTGCATGCATGTATAAATGTGTATATTTGTATGTGTGTTTGGTGACCAGAGTTCAACCTCTGTTGTCATTCCTCAGTTGCCACCGATTTTGTTTTTCTGAGATAGGGTCTCTCACTTGGCTTGAATTATCCAGTTAACCTAGACTGTCAGGCCAGAGATGGCCTGCCTATAGTTTCCCAGCACTGGGACTACAGGAATGTGCCATTAAAAAGCTGCCTTCTTCCTACAGGGGTGCTAGGGATCAAACTCACATCCTTGTGTTTGTACAGCAAGCACTTTGTTGGCTGAGCCATTTCCTAAGGCTTCCTGAACGTCTTCACCACACAGCCACTGAAACTAGCAGCAGTCTATCTAGTTGTATCCAGGAGTCGAAGGAAGTAAGGAGTTTTCTCTGATTCCTACTGAAACTTTTAACTTGCATGAGGATTTTATAATTAAGCTTCCCTGGCCTTCCTTCTCTCCTCTTTGAGGAGGAATGAGCATCTGTGTGAGCACCATGGCCTTTGCCTTTCACACTACTAATTCACACTCCCCTAAACTGCATCAGCTACATTCTCAAACTTGTACATGACATTCTGCAATACTCCGTCGGACTCTTACTCTCCAATCCACTCCCAGCCCCGTATTCCTTCACCAGTTCCTTTAGCCGCACAAGCCCAGGTTCCTTCTAGCATGTTGGCTAACAGCCCGTGTGAGTCTCTCTGGAAGACCAGTTCCTTCACACCTCACTTTGAACTTTGTCCAGCAGATTGTGGACCTTCCTTCCCCATCCTGAAACTCTACCTCATCCACTCACCCAATCCCAGAAGGTTCCATAGCTTCAAGAAGATCAGAGAAGGGCTGACTTCTTACTTCTTACCCACAAACCTACCTTCCTCCATGCCAATTACGAGCTCTGCAGCTAATGTCAGTACCTTTGAATCTGACTGAACCCTGCTGCAGTTTCCAGAATCTTGGCTCTCCTTGGCTTTCTTTTGCTTCTCTGTGTTTTCTGGCCTTCCTCTTTTCTCACTGACCTTAACATATATAAATGGTTACAGCCTTTTCTTTTCTTGAAAAACTGCCTCTTTGTAGCAAGTTCTTCTCTGTAGCCAGTTGTATTTCAAGCACAATTCTTAGCTATTTAATAAGTATTCTTACCAATTCCACCATAAAATGTCAAATATAAAAATTCCAGTCTTTCTCAAATGTTCCCCTCAAAATTGTTTTCATTATAAACACTAATATTGTAATTACTAAATCTGATGAGACTCCCCATACCCAATCTCTTCTCTTGCTTTAAGAAGGAAGATGGTGAGGTTGGAGAGATAGCTCAGCAGTTAAGAGCATGGGCTGGTCTTCCAGAGATCCCAAGTTCAAGTCCCAGCATCCATATTGTGGCTCACAACCTTCTATAAATGTAGTCACATAGTACTTGTGCCTTCTTCTGGTGTGCAGTATTACTTGTAGACAAAGCATCCATACAGATAAAATACATAAATTTAAAAATTATATTTTAAAAAAGGATGATACCACCCTTGAACTGCAGGTTCCAGAACTTCCTATTTTGAACCTCCGTGTCTGGATCTATAATTGCAATATCCACATGCAATCTGTATGTAATGGTTCTGAGCATATTTCAAATCTTCTACCTAACCTCCCAATGGGCCATTCCTCCTATAATACAGTGCTATTATATGGACACCTTTTTGGGCTTCTACTTCAATCTCAGCCCTTATCTTCAGTTTCTTTTTTATTCTACCTTAATAGAATTGCTTACATATGCCCCTGCTTTTCCATCTCTATTATTAGACAGATCATTTGAAGCAGCCATTTGTGGGTCAAAGACAATCAGCTATAAGTGCCAGTGTTTTGATTCAGCCTGTATATTATTTTTCATATCTACCACATTTATGACATCCAAAATGAGGCCCCTGTCCCATCTCTACTACTCAGTTCAAGCCTGTGACTGGACAATAAAGTGGGTGATGAGATCAACAGGAAATCTCTACAAGGAACCATGGTGTCCAGGCCAGTGGGTTCAAGGCTTAATGTCCTCATTTGGCCCTATAGCTCTAACAATTATACTACACCAAGAGAGCAAGTGAAGAGGGTGGCACTGGCTGTAGAGAGGCAGTTTCTTGGTGGTAAGATTCATCAGTGAAATCTGAGAAGTTTGTGAAATGATGAGGGGAGTATCAGTCCTAAAAAAGGCAGGTGCTTCTGTGTGATGGCTCCTCTCAAAAAGTGCTTTTCTGAAACAGTGCAGTCCTTCAGAGAGAGAGCGAGAGAGCTAACCCATGGATTGCACATGAGCTGATAAAGGTGTGTAGAAACAAAAGAATGGTATCTCCTTCATCCTGCAGAAGGGGAAATTTATAAAGAACCAGGCGTTTATGTGTGTGCGTGTGCGTGCGTGTGTGTGTGTGTGTGTGTGTGTGTGTGTGTTTTGAAAACCAAAGTAAAGTCCATAGAAAAAAAAAAACTATTGACGATAGAGTATGTAAAGCAAATGTATTTCAAAAGAAATAGCAGAAACATATTCATATTGTGAAACAAAAAATGACAAATACAAGAAAAAATGTTTTTGTTTTGACAATAAACATAAATGGGTTAAAACAGAGGAAAACACCCATACTGTCTAAATAATCAAAGTCTAATTGTATGCTGTAAGATAAACACCTAAGATAGAATGACTCAGTAACCTTACAAACAAAGAGTGGAACAAAGACACAATAAGGAAAATGCAAGTGAACAGAAAACAGCTGTTTCAAAAATAATGTGAATGTTTCAAAGTAGAATTTTAACCAAAATGAAAAATATAAACCATTAAGTAGAAATTGGTCTATAAATATCAAACAAAAGACTTGAAAAGAAAATGATGATGGGGAAAAGAACATAGTATCTAAAGATTTTAACCTATGTCTTGGTCTCTGATCAATCAAATAGAAAAAGCAATGCAACAAACATATGTTTGCCCTAAATATGTTAATTTTCTCTTCAAATGCTCATGGAATTATAAAAAGATCTGACGCTAGATTAGAGTGTAGCACCAATAAGCCTCCCAATGAATAAAATCATATAGGTTTGAATTTATAGATTTTTCTGACCAAATTTTCTAAAACTAGAAAATAACAAGTCTTAAAAATTAAGTTTTTAAAGTTATACATCTTTTTTTTCTTTTCTTGTTTTTTTTTAAATTCTTTATTAATTACATTTATTCACTTTGTATCCCCCCTGTGGTTTCCTCCCTCCTCCCATCCCAATCCCTCCCTTCCTCCACCCTCTGCATGCATGCCCCTCCCCAAGTCCACTGATAGGGGAGGTCTTCTTTTCCTTCCTTCTGATCCTAGTTAATTAGGTCTCATCAGGAGTGGCTGCATTGTCTTCTTCTGTGGCCTGGTAATGCTGCTCCCCCACCCCAAGGGGGGTAATTAAAGAGCAGGTCAATCAGTTCATGTCAGAGACAGTCCCTGTTCCTATTACAATGGAACCCACTTGGATACTGAACTGCCATGGGCTACATCTGTGCATGGGTCTTAGGTTATCTCCATGTATAGTCCTTGGTAAGTCTTGGAGAGATCAGGGATACATGGCACATACCTATACAATACATCTTAATAACTTATGTCATAGTATGTTTCTTATGTTAACAAGAGTCTCAAGAAAATCAAAAGCCAAATGACACACATAATATAAATGCCAGTTAAAAGAAGCATATCCTTTTTATTTAGAGGGTTCTAATGAATTATTGACAGTCAAAAAAAAATCAGTAGCCTCCAAAAAAAATCTGGCAACTGATTTCAATGGGAAAATTGATATTAATCTCTAAGTGCAAATTTCTTAAATGGCATAGGAGATGTTCCGGGGTGACTCAGAAGACTCCTTTTGCCTTTGGGGTGGGGACAATGACAAACCACTGCTCATTGCTATGGAAGGTGCTGATCAATGGCTAGGCCTTAAGTACAGACACCACAAAGAAAAGAAAGAAAGAAAGAAAGAAAGAAAGAAAGAAAGAAAGAAAGAAAGAAAGAAAGAAAGAGAGAGAGAGAGAGAGAGAGAGAGAGAGAAAGAAAGAAAGAAAGAAAGAAAGAAAGAAAGAAAGAAAGAAAGA